TAACAAAATTAAAAAGACTGTGAAAAATGAAAATACAAAATATTTCAATACAAATATGTAAATGTGTGTAGATTTATGGCAATGCTGTGCAAAGAACTGATTTTATTTTGTGGATTGTTATCTAAGCACTTTGTCATCTGAGTCTTTCATTCATAGTATTATACTTTTTTTTTTGCCCGTTGATTTGTCTCCTTGTTTGGCATCGCACTTTTTTCCCTTTTTTTTTGCTAAAATGTCTTCCTTCAAGAGGAGTGTTAGTTTCATCCAAATATTAGGATGCATGTTTGTAACCAAATGAAAACCATATGAGCTGAATAAAACCCAGCGATACCATTTGTAACCAAATGAAACCATAATGAAACTAAAACTGTCAGTCAACCCACTTATTTTATCTTTTGCGGAAAATTGCCTTCACAGCCTATTAGTTGTGCATTGAAAGTGTTTGTGGTGAAAATATTTGTGGCGAAACTGCATGTGGCATAGATGCTTACAGCGAAAATGCCTAGAACCAATCCATAAGCCATTAGTCAATCCACAAAATATTTCTTTTTTCTTGCCTTCGTGTCAGCAAAAACACTATGTCGTTATGAGATTTTTCACATGATTGAGAGCATGTGATCTAAAGTAAATGTGATCTAAGTCAAATGTAATGGTGTTCCCTGAGTTCAAAATTTGCATATATTTGCATCATGAATTGGATGAAAAAGAAAAGTAAGAATGTTGATGCTTGGTAGTACTGGACGTATTTCATTATGTAAGAATCGACAGCATTCATGCCATGTGAGAGGAAGGATTTGACAATTAACGTGTCTTTTCTCTTACCTAAGCACTTCCGCTGCTCACTTCCTCACCGCTCCAGTCCTCCCAGCCCTCTGAAGCAGAGTCTGCCCCTGGTGTCAGCAGTGGCGCAGCCCACAAACCGTCATAGCATTTGGATGCAGTCGCCTTTTCTTTTGAGGATATAGATCAAGAGATGTGGAGGAGCATCTCCCTGGGGCCCCAATCGTGTTAAGAGAATAGATGTTTAGGGCTCGAGTGTGCCCTGCCGGCACTGAGCTCTGGATCATGAGTGACAGCGGCACCCATATGGTCTTCAATAGGTAAATTTTGGGGAGGGAGGGTTGTAATATGTGGAGCTCGCAAAGTTCGGGGCTGGGGCAGGGGTCGCAAGGAGACTTTCTGGGGTGATGGAAATGTTGCATATCTTGATCTGTTTGACAGTTACATCAGTATATATACTTGACAGAATTCATCAAACTGTATTCTTAAGATTTGTACATTGTACTGCATGTAAATGATGCGTCAATAAAGTCCTGTTAGCATAAAAAATAAAGGCTACCAGAGCATACTTTTCTCTATGTAGACTAAAGGGGGTAACCACAGATGATTCCATCACTCTAACACAACTATTTCATGTATTCTTTTCTCATATGCCTGCACACATGTGCACAAACACACCACAGGCTTTTTTCTTTTTCTTTTTTTAAACCTGGCTGCAATCCCAGCATACATAGGTTTTTCTGTCCTTGATATTATATCTTAAATCTTCTTCTATGGACATGGTCTTCATAATCATATGATTGCTTCCATTTTTTTCACTTTATAAATAATATTCCAGTCCACATTTTTATGTATAAAGTTTATATTTTATTATTTCTTTGGGATAAATTTCCAGATACAGGGTGAGTGAGTAAAAGATTATGAAGATTTTAATGACTCTATATGGTGATGGTTAAGATATTGGGCTTTGGGGTTCAGAACAAGCTGGGTTCAAATTCTGGTTGTGCTTGACCTTGGATGAGCTACTAAGAATCTAGATCAATATGGCCTTTAGAGTTGTTTTGAGGATTAAATGAGATGATGTGCATATGTGAAGGGTTTAGTATGTAACCTACACGATAATCACTGGGTAAAATATTGTGAAACTACTTTCTAAAAGGATGCTACCAGCTTCACTCCCCGAGGTGATGCAGAAGTACCAGTTTTCCAACATTATCCCAGGATTGTGTGTTAGAATCTCAATTATTTTATGGATGAAATGAGATATTCTATTGCTGTTTCAATAGCATTATTTGACTACTAGGAAGTTGGATGTTTTTCAGTTTTCTTGATTTAAAAAATCTAAATTTATGCTTTAGAAAATACCTCTGTCTGCTTTTTAAATGCCTTTTATTCATTGTTAATTTATGGACAAGGCTTCAATACTATGTCTTCTGGTTCAGGTTAAGCATCACTATAGGACAGGACCCAATAAAAGAAGGAAAAATGGGTTTGTGTTATTTCTGACCTGGCCAATAAGAAAGAGAAGTGAAACACAGCATGACCCCATTGGGTCGCTTTTCCTACCAGCCCAGCAACTGATTTCTCAGAGCCTCTGGCCCACAAGTGTTTTCTCAGCAGTCAAGTCTGGTCTAGTTGTGGGGGGTGGGAGGGCGGGGTGGGCTGGAGGAGGTTCATTTCAGTGCCAGGGTGCATTCCTTTACTGTCATTAGCTAATTAAATGAGTTAATCCCTAAAGCCTTGTTAGGGCTGGCTCACAGATCTCTTTAGTGTTATTAACAGAGAGACATGCTGTACAGTGTCTGAGAGTGGAGTTCCTGGTCCCATTCCTAGTTTGGCTAACTGGCAGACCTTTCCATTCTTTCTGCCCACCAGATTCTCTGGGTAAAGTAGTAATGTCACAGGGGCTGTCAAACTTGGGGCTGCCTTACCTCGCTGATCCAGACCATAGTTTTTTTTTCCTTAGCCTATTTATTGATTTTGTAATTTGGTTCTTTTTTTCTCAAACGATACTTGATTCTTTTAAATTCCAGTGTGACCAGAATTTCAGAATAGCAAGAGCCGGGGGCTAAGAATTTCGCTGCACTTTATTTCTTACTAGTTGCAACACTCAGACAGCATCTAGCTGTTATCTGCCCTGTTTCCTGCCTTCTGCTGTGAGGAGGACAGCTGCGAGTAGTAGAAGGGTCCTGCCGCAGAGCCTGCGCTGCTCTCTGAGACCAGAGAATGGACAACACAGGGGTGTTGCCTGCTGCCTACAGCTGAATTCCCAGGGGCTGGGCTGGGCTGTTATTCCATCAGTAGGAGGCTGTGTTGTGGCCTTTGATGCATTCTGCATTTCTGGAACTGTGGGTCCAGGATAACATACAATCACATGTCTGTATACTTATCAGGGATAGAAAAGGGACCAGTTTTTCCCTAATTGTAACTTTGCCCAGAATAGAAATTGTATTGAAATTGAATTATCACTTCCTTTCTTTGTGACAAAGAGACACGTTTCTCCCTAATCCATACACATCAAAAATAGCAAGCAGGAAGCAGGAAGCAGGCACCACCACCTCGGTGGGTCGTCACTGGTTATGCCCGACTGTTCCTGGAGAAGGAAAAGCCATTTTACAGGTGAGGACACTGAGGCTCAGAGTATTCTTGCCCCGGTTACCCAGCTAGAAGTTTGCAGAAACAGCCCTTCCCATGCAGGGCTGTCTGGATTTAAGTAGGTTCTTTCCTGCTGCAGAGGAAGGTGTTCCTTTAGACCAAAGAGCTCTTCACTCCCTCCTCACCCCCTCTACTTAGGAGTCGGTAGCAGGGCTGGTCTCTGTGTCTCTTCTGGTATAGAGCATGAATGTGCCTTGCTTGGGGCTGAACTGAGCATGCCCTCTTCAACAGACCCACAGTGTCAGGCATCACTAAAAGCTGAGTATATCTGAGGTCATTTTCACACTCTGGGTCAGCACTGAGTCCAATAAACTCTCATGATCTATTGCAGCCAACCAGGTTGGGTCATGTGACTCCTTTGCTGGGAGGTCTTTAAAGATAACCATGTTACTCTCTGGCTGGGGACCAAGCTCTCTCAGCAAAACCTGGGCCACAGGCAAACCAGCTCATTTCTATTCTAGAAAAATCAAATCATAAATTTTAGTCCTGTTCATTTGGTAACCACAGGAGGCAGGTGAGGAAGAACTCTGTTGGAAGGCTGGGCAAACAGATTCCCATGATGAGAGACACTAGTCAACCTCTAAAGGGTGGTGGAAGCCACTGCTCATCAAGGCCAAGGGTCTGAGAAGTCCATCACGTGTGGTTGAGTTTTGCGTCTTAGATCAGGTGATCCGGGGCTGACCTAGGCTCCACACTTAAATTGTTGTGTGACACAGGCAAGATCAGAATCTCTCTGGGTCTCCATTTCTTCATTTAAAAAAAAGACAGGGCAGGGTGATGGTTGGCTTAACTCATTTCTGTTGTCCCTTTCAGATCATACTTTTTTACTAATTTAAAATGTTTAATTTAAAGCACACCTCAAATATTGAGATACAATAACAATAAATTGCATTTTATGATCTTGGTTTTTCTCTGGGATCATTGTCTCTTTAGTATGCCTCCTCAGGTATTAAAAAATAATAATTCAGCTCTATTTTTGAGTATGCCACTTTCCCAGACCACTGAGAGATTGTATTCTGAAAGACTCTTCAATTACTCTTTCTGCTGAAATTCTCTATATTGTTGTCCACTTGTAATTTACGTTTTATTATGGAAAATTTGAAATATATGCGATGGAATTGTATAATGAGCTCCCATGGACCCACCAACCAGGTTCAACAGTTATCCACATTGTGTCAGTCTGGTTTCATCTCCCCAGTTCCCTGCACATTTTTGCAGAGGGGAGTGCTGGAGTATTTTTAAGCAGATCTCAGACTTCATATCATTTTACTGTTAAATACTTTCCTTTCTATATCTAACAGAAAAGGCCCTCCCTTTTTGTAAAACATAACTACAATGCTATCATTGCACCCACAAAATTAACAGTGATGCAAGAGTTCTTTGAAATTTTAGTGAATTCAGAGTGGAAGGGGTAATGGGATGAAGGCGCTCAGACCTGGGTTTACCCCCTTTCCTCCAGGAAAAGTGGTAAAATTCATTGAGAAGGGTCTTGGGGTTTAAGCTGGCACTTGCCCCACCCTTACAAGACTTTCAGGAAGCAAATATGGGAAAGGCCTTCCGGAGCAATGGGTATAACTAGCACTTACGGAGCACCTACTGTGTACATCTCCATATGCATCACCTCCTTTAACCTTCACACCAAAGCTGAGAAGTAGAAACCAAGGCCCTGGGAGAGGTTCCCACATATTACCTCTGATTCGTCAACAATAGAATATCATAATGTTACCCTGACTCTATGCCGAAGCAATAGGAGATTCCTATTTAGTGTCAGTGTACAAGGCTATTTCATTCATGCCTTAATCCAGATGTTTAACTGCTGTGAAACAATAACCTGTTCATTTTTTGAGATTCCTTGGGAAATAGTTAAATGAGGATAATAATATCTTAAGTGGAGAGAGGGTGAAAATGCCCAGGCTCTTCCAGCCCAGGCTAAGGGATTCCACCCAGTCTTCCCCTCTTTCTAATCCCCTTTCCCCAAATGGATAGAAGGCAAATCTTAGGGTTTATAAATCACTTGTTAGGGTTAGAGGACATTTGTAGGTTTGTGCTTGAAAGATTTGAATTTTTGCCTTGGGAATCTGTAAGCTTTTACTCAGTAAGGAGCATCTTTAATTAGCAAAATGGAGAAATGCCCCCGTAAATGTGCTTGGCAGTGGGAAGAGGCCCCTTGAAGTATTCCGGAAGAAAAACAAAAAAGAGGAATGGACTAAGGAGGGAGGCAAAAAGCAAAGAAGGGAGGGAGGGAGGGAAACAAAATCAAAGAACCTTCATAAATCCCAGATTGATTTTATGACCCAGCTTGAGATGAACTCTGGTAATTTACCTTGTTTGTGTTTAAATGGCGTCATGCAGACCCAAAGGAGTAGGCAGATACCTAAATACCTGCCTTGGTAATGAGACCATCTGGCACGTTTACTGTGACGCTGCTGAAGCTTAAACTTCAGGGCCCCTTCCTTGCACTGATCCCTCCCAAAACCTTGGGAGAGACTCTGGAATGTGTTCCTCTGCTCATGTGTACAAGCTTCAAACCACATAAAACCGGGTCCATCCCTGTGACTTGGGAATTGAGTTCTCAAGAGAATAATGTGTCCATAATCATACCTTGATAAGTTCCAGATTTTCCTAGTAGTGGAGCTTCCCTTTCTTCCTTTTAATTTCTCTGTGTAATTTGCAAGGATTTAACCTCATTTCTATTTCATTTGTGCAGATGAAATTATGCAACAGGAAATCAGGCCCCTGGTGGCAGTGGATATAATTGAACAACTTCACAGACAATTCGCCATTCTTTCAGGTGAGGGGCAAATTCATTTGCATTTCCAGATTTTGTTGGGGGGCTCCTGCTGGGAAGGCCTGGTCTCTTGAATCTTGAACATTATACTCAAGTCTCAGTCAGCCCTTAAACCTCACCCAGGACTAGAAGGAACTGAGGACTATCCAGCTGGGAGGCTGGGGTCTCAAAGATGTCATTCGTTTTGCTGTTGGGTGTAATTTGATCCTTCCCAAGGGAGTACAATTCTTTGAACTTGTAAAGAACAGAGCTGAAAAGATCTTGAGGAAGGAAAAAGAAATAACTACTGACATTAGCTGCTACCATGATGTTCTTCTGATGTTCTTGTTGGATATTCTTCCAAGATCCAACCATAAGAAAGTCTTGGTTTTGAGGGTTCATGAACATTGCTGAGGTTATTTGTTCTCTGAGAGATTTGTCTTAGCTCTTAAGGACCTAATTTTAATATATTGATTTCCATTAAGCATTTGATTGCTTAATGAAAAACTGCTTAGGTAGTTTGCTTCTCTGGGCCTCAGTTTCCTCATTGGAATAATGAATGGGATCATTATCATTGTTGAGGATTAAATGACATAAGGTATGAAAAGTGCTTAGTATTGCAACTGCCAAATAAATGTTTGACTCTTTTTCTGGATACATTTTAATCCCATACAAATGTTTATTTTGGGGTTATATTATGGAAAATGGTTTTAGGTATGATACAGTTGTTATCAGGAACCACAGCCGTGCTCACGGTGAATATGGTGTATAACGCCACAGTTGAGTCAGGAATAGAGATAACTGTCACCCTTTAATGTAGAACATAGAGCTGTGGAAACTCACGCTGTATCAGAGGCCACCTCTGTGTTAGGGCAGGCACTTGGACCATGGCAAACAGTCTTTTCGTTTCTGAGCTGCTTTTGTCTTGTGGCCTCTAGTTTGCCCTTCTCGTGAGAGAGAAGCATGGGTTAGCTGTGGCAGCATTTGCAGCAGGGCAAGGCTGGGAGGGTATGAGGTTCTCTGCGTCAGTGCTTTTTGGGAATTGGTGAGCCTGCTTTTCGTCTTTAACTGTTCCTCTTTCCCTGGCAGAAGCAGCAGCTGTCAGCCACAAGGCCGTCGTGGGTGCCTGTGTAGTTGTGGTTGTAAAACAGAAATCTCTGCGATTAGGTCTTTTCCCGCTGCTGTGGTAGCCCCACTGCGGCCTCTGCTCTGGGTCACAGCAGTTTTCCTTTTCCTGATTCAGGGAAGCAGGGTGAGGATGTTCCAGCTGCAGACTTTTCTGCAGATTCCACTGAGCTCTGGAAAGAGCCAGAGGCCCCATCGACCAGGAAGGCTGTGAAGGAGAGAATGGAGCCTTTTCCCAATGAGGCCCAGTTTCCTGGCCTACTGTGCTCTGTCAGTGTGCTCCCAGGGCTGGTGGGAGAGCAGGGCTCATTGCATGAAGGCTGACCCAGATTTGTGGCCAGATGGTTTGAAGCCTCTGCATGATGAAGCCTGTGAGCAGGGGGCCACCAGCAGGAAGTGAATAGTGACCAGGGCTGGGGCCTCTGGTAGCTTTGACCTGGGAAGACAACCTGTATGTTCCCAGTGAACTTGGGATATTTCTAGGTTCAGTGCTTAGCTAGGAAACAAGAGAATATAAGCAGGTTAGTGTGGTGGAAACACTCCAGGCTTTGGACTCAGACAATTCTGGGTTCACATTTCAACACAACTAGTAGGTTGCTCTGAACCTCAGGTTTCTCATCTGTAAAGTGGTTAAAGAAAATGCCTAGCATGGTATCTGGCTACGAGACAACTTAGCCTATAGGACGTGTTTGTTTGTTTGTTTAAAACCACAGAACAAGAGGTCAGGAGGTAAAAATTCCTAGTATTGGATCAGTTGTTCAGCGACATGAAGGCTGGCATCTTTGTGATTCTCTTGATGTTTCTCTTGTTTTTAAAGTCTTAATCTCAACATGGCTGCTGCAGCTCCAGACATCAAGTCTGTGTCCAAAGCAGGAAGAAGGAAAAGGAACAATGCTGGCTGCTTCTGTTCCTTTTGCCAGGAGAGCAAAAACTTTCCCAGAAGTTCTTAGCCGACTTCTGCTTATGTCTCATTCCAGAACTATGTCATGTAGCCATTCCTAGCAGCAAGGGAGTCTGAGAAGGCAAGCATTTAGCTTGTTCCACCATAGTAGAAGGTGATCAGAGAAGAGGGGTTTGGGAATAAATTAGCGATTTATCAGTGTCTGCCATAATGCTTTTCCTTTAATTATGAGGAATTATCCTTTTCTTTTTCTTTTCTTTTAATGGTTATTTTCTCCCTTGGAATCATTGTGTCTGACTTTCTCTTTCTCTTTCTCTCTCTTCTCTCTCTCTTTCTCTCTCTCACAACACCTTTAATCCCTTTAGAAATAACTAATAATGAAGGAATAAAGTACTCTTAGCCTTGTGGAGTCCTCAGTGTTTCCCCCCATACACACAGCGGTGGAGCCCAGGGTTGGTAGAGGTGGAGTTCCCCAGGGCAAGTGGGAAGGCTCCCCGCTCCGCGCCCCCCGCCGGAAACAATGGAGGGTGTCAAACCAAGAAAGAAAGCAGAGTCAAAACTCATATCTAAATCAAAGATGGAGCTAGTAACTTGGTACATGGGAAATGAGAACCAATGCAAGAAGGTCTAGAGCAGTGCTGTTTAATAGAAATATAATGGGACCCACATATGTGCTTTTAAATTTTGTAGTAACTATATTAAAAAAAAGGAACATATGAAATTAATTTTAATAATATATTTTATTTAACCCAATATACCTAAAATATTACCATAATATGTCATCAATATTCAAAATTATTAGTGAGATATTTTACATTTTTTTTTGTACTAAGTCTTCAAAATCTAGTTTGTATTTTATACTTACAGCACATCTCAGTTTGGGCTGGTCACATTTCAGATGCTCAACAGACACGTGTTTAGTGGCTGTCGTATTGGGCAGTGCAGGCTGCAGAAATGGTTCTCAAACATGTTGGACTAAATGCCTTCTTTTTATAACAAATGATTTGTATCGCCCCCCACCATCCTGAAATGAAATTTATAGGTACTATAACCTCTTAGTTAGTGTGGGCTACGCAGCTGTTACAAATAGACTCCAAAGTGTATAGTGGCTCAAACAAACACAATAGAAATTTAGTTCTTACTCTTGGAATAGTCCAGCATGTGTGCTCCTGGTCAGCAGATGACTTTTCTCCATGTGAAAGTTCAGGAATGAAAATCCATTCACGTTGTGGCTCTTATTATCATTATTATTATTATTTTTGTGTGTGAGTGTGTGTGTGTGTGTGTGTGTGTGAGGAAGATTATCCCTGAGCTAACATCCATTGCCAATCCTCCTCTTTTTGCTGAGGAAGATTGGCCCTGGGCTAACATCTGTTGCCAATCCTCCTCTTTTTGCTGAGGAAGATTGGCCCTGGGCTAACATCTGTGCCCATCTTCCTCTACTTTATATGGGACACCACCACAGCATGGCTTGACAAGCGGTGTGTCGGTCTGCGCTCGGGATCCGAACCTGCGAACCCTGGGCTGCTGAAGTGGAGCACACGAACTTAACTGCTACGCCACGGGGCCAGCCTCCTCTTATTACTATTATTCCTTTTGTGGCCTTCTTATTATCGGCATCTGGAAAGCAGACAGGGAAAGAGAGCATACTGCTTCCTAAGAGCCTCGGCTCAGCCACAGCACACACCACATCCCAATGACTTGAATCTGGCTCAGTTATGTGGATACACTTGACAGCAAGGGAAGCTGGGAAATGTAGTTTAGCTGTGTGCCCAGGAAGAGGGTGAACAGCCATGCCCTACTTACATATATACTTAAAAAATAAAATGTCAGTCGACTTCCAGCGACCCTGTGTACAGCAGAGCCGAACCCTGCCCCGTCTTTTTGTGCCATCCTGTCACCTTCTGGTGCTATATCAGACAATTCTCTGCTCTATTTATAGGGTTTTCATGGCCAGTTTTTTTCAGAAGTGGGTGGCCAGGCCTTTCTTCCTGGTCTTGCTTAGTCTGGGAGCTCTACTGAAACCTGTCCACCATGGGTGACCCTGCTGTTATTTGAAATACGGGTAGCATAGCTTTCAGCAGCACAGCCCCAGGCAGCTGCCACAGTATGATGACTAACAGACAGTGATATGGTTCCCCGACCAAAAACGAACCCGGGCTGCAGTGGTAAGAGTGCTGAATCTTAATCACTAGACCACCAGGGCTGGCTATTTCTAGCTACACTGGAAGAGATAATGAAATAGTCAGGTGCTTGCCCCTGTAGGTGTAGACACCATGAATATGACAGGTGCACATGATGGGGTGTAGTATGGGTGATCAGATACCCGGAGTGGCCTTACTAGAGTGATTTTCTGAAATAGTTAATAATCGTTGATAAAGTTCTGAACAAAGTAAATTATTTTCTTCTCTCAGCTTATAGGGTAGTTGCATTCCTGGAAAATTCAGTATACATTAAAACTGTTTAAAAATACTTTGTGGGCCGGCCCTGTGGCTTAGCGGTTAAGTGCGCGCGCTCCGCTGCTGGCGGCCCGGGTTCGGATCCCGGGCGCGCACCGAAGCACTGCTTCTCGGGCCATGCTGAGGCCGCGTCCCACATATAGCAACTAGAAGGTTGTGCAGCTATGACATACAACTATCTGCTGGGGCTTTGGGGGGGAAAATAAATAAATAAAATCTTTAAAAAAAAAAAAATACTTTGTGATTTGCAACAACATGGATGGACCCTGAGGGCATTATGCTAAGTGAAATAAGTCAGACAGAGAAAGACAAACACTGTATGATATCACTTATATGTGGAATCAAAAAAACCTGAACTCATAGAGACAGAAAACAGATTGGTGGTTGCCAGAGGCGGAAGGGTGACGGGTAGGGAAATGGGTGAAGGGGGTCATAAGGGACAAACCTCCAGTTATAAGATAAGTAAGTCCTGGGGATCTAATGTACAGCATGGTGACTAACAATACCGTATTATATATTTGAGAGTTGCTAAGAGAGTAGATCTTAAAAGTTCTCACCACAGGAAAAAAGTTTTGTAACTATGTGAGGTGATGTTAACTAAACTTATTGTGGTAACCATTTCTCAATATATACATCTATCAAATCATTATGTTGTACACCTTAAACTAAGACAATGTTATATGTCAATGATATCTCGATAAAACTGGAAAAAATATTAAAAAAATACTTTATGATTATATGTAAAAGAGAGAGTCTAGGATCAGGTCACTATAAAAACATTTTTGAGTCTCTGGTAAGACATTGGGAAATCCTATAGGATGTGGGACAATTCTTCCTTATGTCGGACAGGTCATTTAGTATCCCAGGCACTGAAGTCTCCAAAGTGCCTCACAGGGAGTGGCACTGCTGTTTTCCCAGCTAAAATCAGTTCTTTGGGGGAAGAGAAAGAGAAAATAGATACTGGAAGGCAAATGGCAGTAGCTGCCTTGCTCCTTCTCTCTTTGTTGGTCTTCACCGTTTTCCTTCAGGGTTTCCCAGCGTTCCAAATTCTCCATGTGATGGAAGTCTCCACGTAGCTGACACCCAGACCCTTATGGAATAGTCTTATCTACCCCAAGCACTTACTAGTGTTTTCCTCAGTAAAGCTAGTTCTCTTCCATTAATGAAATGTAAAAATTATACTATGTTTATTTTATTTAAGTCGTTGTTTTACTTAGTTCCAAATAGTTTGGTTTCCTTTGTCTTCCTTGAATGGGACTTGGGCACAATCTTTCTTTCTTCCTTTTGCATTCCCACGCTTCCTCACAAGGTGGCACTGAATGCCTGTCGTGGGTTGTCACAGCTGTAGGTAGGCCCAGCTTTGTTTCCTTGGTGCTTCTGCCTCTTAAGACTGATATTCAAGAGCAGGTGGTGTCCCCAGTTAACCTCAGGGCCCTCTCTGGTGTTCAGTATTGGTATTAACCAAGATACAAGAAAACTCCACCTACCTTTCTCCATTTAGATGTGAACCCCTTTAATTTAAAATTAATGATAAAAGGTAAAATCATTAAATGGTGTAATCATATCCTAATGAATATGTATGGTGTTTTGGTTCCTTGAAATGTTTTAGCCATTCTCTTGGCAAATATTGGTTATACAATTAGTACAGTGTTATAACGCATCTAACTTTAACCTTACTAGAGATGCAAATTCTCTTAACTGACATTTCTCTGAGACTTCCTATACTTGTGAAACTGCAAAGAGGAAGAATATTAGGGGAAAGCTAATAATATCCTGATCTCAATTGTTTTCAGTAAGCATAGCAAGGTAGTTCAGTCTCCTTGTCAAAGCTTGACAAACATCTAATCTGCAGGTGTCAATTTTTGAAATTTAAAATAAGCATACAGGATTAATAAAGAGCTACTTCCTGGAGAAATACCTGGTCATGTAGATAAATCTCACAGTTTCATTCCATAGTAATTGGTCTCTGAGAGCCTGACTCATATTAAGAGTTTTCACAAGAGTCTCGTGTAGAAAAACCACAGTGCTAACTTATTCTTTTCATGATACAAATACTCATGTTTGCTCAATAGCATAATTCTCTTTCTTGAAACAAATTTACATAGAATGTCAGAGTCTAAGCAGAAGATGCTTATCAGGCATGGACTTAGAACAGCAGAATAGGTTTGATGATGGTGGTGGTGGGCCAGGACCCTCTCTCCTTAGAATAGTATTGGCGGTACACGACCCGCCTTTGTTTCTCTGAGTCTCCCTTTTCCGTAGTTTCTTCGTTGATCCCACACCCTTATTAATCACACAGTCTTCATTAAAGCACACCCTGCACCGATACCTCTTTTGCACAGGTTCCCCAGCTGTCTCAGTTCTCGGTGCCTTAGTAGCTCAGTAATTTTTTCATGGCCCTTCTTGGCCAAAAGCAATACCTAGCAGGTAAAACAACTTAATAAGTCTATATGTCCTTAGTTGCTCTTTGAAAAAATAATATACATAAAGTGAAAGAAAAAGTAAAATTTCAGTTTCGTTTTTAAGTAACCACAGTTCTCTCACACCTTGGGCTCAAACTAGACATCACCACCCTCATTTCCTGTTCCACAATGGTTTTCATGCTGCACTTGCTTTTTATCCCAGCAGCCACCAAAAACCCAGCTTTACAAAGCTACAGTGCCATTCAAAAGAATATAACGCAGTTTAATGTTGAAATTGTGAACTACCTCAAGCTGGTAGCATGCACGGTGTCTGACAGGCGCCAACTGTTGCTGTTTCCCTCAAAAATTTAAAATACTCACAGTGTTTCTGTGAGTTCACTGTGGTACCCTGGGTACTTGGCACACAGTTTGGGAACCATGCGGCTAGAACTTAGTCATGTGGCTACATCTGGCTGCAAGGAGATTGGGAAATTGAATCTAATTTAATCTAGGTGGCTCTGCTCCAGTGAATTAAATTTATTTATTTATTTCTTTGTGAGGAAGATCAGCCCTGAGCTAACATCCATGCCAATCCTGCTCTTTTTGCGGAGGAAGACCAGCCCTGAGCTAACATCTATTGCCAATCCTCCTCCTTTTTTTCCCCTTTTGCTCCCCAAAGCCCCAGTAGATAGTTGTATGTCATAGTTGCACGTCCTGCTAGTTGCTGTATGTGGGGCACCACCTCAGCATGGCCTGACAAGCGGTGCGTCAGTGCGCGCCCGGGATCCGAACCCCGGGCCGCCAGTAGTGGAGCGTGAGCATTTAACTGCTAAGCCACGGAGCCGGCCCCGAATTGAATATTAATTTTTACATTTTTATTCTCACAGGGATGGCTTATCTTCCTGTTTATAAGTTGTTGAAGGGCAGCTGATTATTGCCTTCTTGTAATAATAATTATAATAAAAGTCACATTTATTGAGCATTTATATGTAATAAGCACTCTCCTAAGGTGATTTTCATATATGTTCTCGATGTTCACAATACCTTTTGAGGTAGGTGCAAGTATTATTCCCATTATATATATATATACGTATATATATATATATATATATATATATGTGAGGAAACTATTTAGGTTATCTTGCCTAAAATCACATAGAAATTAAGTGAAAAAGCAGGATTTGAACCAGGCTGTCTGATTTTAGAGCTAACTCTCTTGACCACCATGCCATTTTACCTTTGACATTTACTGACTACAAAAATGAAGAACAATATTACATATTCGTGTTGGCATTATTTACCATTCTACCTATGCTAAAATAATTAAATCAATATTACCTTTTATACAGTAACCATCTTCAAAGGATTGAAACTGAATTCTCACACCACCCCTGAGAAAGCATGACGGAGAAGAGATATTTGTTCAAAATAGTTCAGCGTCAACCTTCCCACATTCTAGTCTGAAATAATATAGATAGAAAGGGGGAGGCCAATACACATCTCCTGACTTGGTATTAGTCAAAGTCCCTTACCTGCAGGGGAGTGACGTGAAAATGTTTTGCTAACATCTTGACCACCCATTTTTGTTGCAGGAGGCCGAGGGAAAGACGGAGCCCCTATCATCACTTTTCCAGAGTTTGTGGGGTTCAAACACATCCCAGATGACGACTTCTTGAATGTCGTGACGTACCTGACTAGCATCCCCAGGTGAGCTGAACACAGCGTTCTGCTGCCTCCCTAGTCTCTGGCTTTATCCCACCTTTCCCATGTGGCAGGGCTGGGTTGAGATGGATTCTTCCATGAGCACAGCTCACACTGGTATGTAACTTGGCCAGTTTCTCTTATCCGTCAGTCACAGACAAGGGATGTGGAAAGAGACTAGCAGACAATGATAAATGAGTTTCAGTTTGACACATAGAAGTTACTTAATCAACATTGTCGAGAGAATGAAAAATGGATTGAACAGCTCATGCTGCCTTTGTCCCTTCAGGTTCCTGGCTCTAGATGATTAAGGGGATTCTGGCTTCCTGGGGCCTATTGTCTGGGACACATGGCCGGTGCTCAAGGAGCTCAAGCCATGTTAAGAGTTATTTAATTTATCTCCCCTAAATAGGGCATTTGGGGCAGATTTTATAATTGTCATCGTCAGATGGAAAAACTAAAGCACAGAGCAAAGAAACTAAAAGACTGGGAATAAAACCTATGCTTATAGCCAAGAGCATGACAGAAATGTTTTTGAGCATCTGCTATGTCCGCCTTCTTCAGCCCACGTCTCCCATCTTTATGCCACTTAAGTCAATAAATACCCAGACCTCCAGTGTCCATTCTCCGGCAGAGCAGAGTCAGCCAGGAAAGGCCCCGCCCTCCATGGGTTTGGCTTATGATACCATGTCTCACTTAACTGCTGTGTGATTAAGAATTTACACGACAGTCTTGTGTGTGCTGTTTGCTTGCTTTCCATCTGCCTTATGTGATTTGGAGGTTAACACCTGCTTTGAGATTGAAAGGCTGCCTGCAGTCTGATCCTACCTGTGGAGATTAGGAAGTTAATAGTTTGCTTTAAGCAAACCCACCTTAAAAGATTTTTTTTGTTTTGTTTTTTTACTCTTCCTACTTCAGGGAAGGCTATGGATTTATTTTTAATGCACTTCTTCAAAGTTCAGTACTTAAATTATATTCACCAAATCCCTCCCTCTCCTCCTCCCATCCCCGCATATGGTGTGCGTTATGCAAATGTTGGGCTTCATTGGTTGGAGGGAAGGATGCAGTAGTCTCTGGGCGTTGCTCATGTGGGTCTCTCTGCGGGAACACCTTTCCTACCCTCTGGGCTTGGCTAACTCCTACGCAGTCATCAGCCCTCAATCTGATCTCATTTCCTCCCTGACCCCAATTCTGCTCTCACAGACTCTTTTTTCTTTCTGTTTCCACAGAACCCTGAGCTTACTTACCCCTTATAACACCGTAGTTGATAGAAATTATTCCTGCCTCTCCTGTTAGATTGTGAACTACTCAGAGTAGGGGCCAACGCTTTCTTTTCTTTTTTCTTTTTGTTTTATCTTTAGCCCTAGCACAGTAGGTTCTCAAGAAGTAATGTTGGTAGATTTCCAGTTCTGATAGGATCATTTCAATCAAAAGGTATTTGTTCTAGAGTGAGAAGGGGGACACTGACAGAGAGAGGGGAACCCCCTTCCTCACTCCTTCCTTTACCTCCCTGGGTTGTAGGGAGTTTGGATGTGCCCCTCCGTTCTCATTATATTTGTTTTAAACTCACTAATTTTCTAATTCTACTTAACCCCCCGAATGCAGTCATATGCTAAATAAAATGGGTGATTTTCATCTTACACTTGCAGCCTTTTCTGAGTCACACTGAGGACCATACATTAAGTGTGTCACATGAACCAGGGTGGAGAGAAGCAGTGAGGGGTAGAAACTGTTGCCTCACAGATGTAGAAGATAAGAGAAAACCAGGGGCTGCTGTTTTGGCCTGATTTCTTTTTTCTGCTCTATGTTCCTTGTATAATTTCTGGTAAGCTAGGGAGTATTTTAGTTTCCTAGAATGCTGTTTGTCTCTTGAGAAAGAGTAGCCATCTGACCAGTTATTCCCCTTACTCTTTCTGGAGTTTGCTCATACCCACTCACTGCCCTACCCCTTGTACCTTTCAACGTAAGACAGAGACAATGGGTAAGAAGGCCTGAAAGAGGAGTTTGACCTGAACTTTGCTGTCTCAATTTCTATTCCAGGTTCCAAAGAGTGAAACCACCTTTGTTCCTTTTATGATTCATATTTATCAAAATTTGCATCTTCCTGAATGTTACAGTGGTTACCAGGCTCCAGAGCCCTTCCCAGGTTGCAAAATGTTTTATAGGCAATTGGCAAAGAGCTCATGACATATAGCAGGGAAGAATTGGTGCAATAGTTTTATTTATTTATTTATTTATTTTTTCCCCCAAAGCCCCAGTAGATAGTTGTATGTCATAGCTGCACATCCTTCTAGTTGCTGTATGTGGGACGCGGCCTCAGCATGGCCAGAGAAGCGGTGCGTCGGTGCGCGCCCAGGATCCGAAGCCGGGCCACCAGCAGCGGAGCGCGAGCACTTAACGCTAAGCCACGGGGCCTGCCCAGAATTGGTGCAATAGAAGAGGAGAACGGCCAGATACTCAGAGCAGGGAAAGGATGTCTCTGTGCCTGAAGTTACTAAGGATCTTGCGTTGTGGCTGGGTTGGATGAACACAGGATGGATTCCCACAGGAGCTCATTCTTCACCAGATCTTTGCTGAGTGCCATCAGTGTGTACGGTGCTGTGTCAGGTGCTATAAAGGACCAAAAAGGCCATAAGACAATGTCTCAAACCTCAGGAAACTCATCACATGACTCTGTTGTCGTGATATTTTGTGACATGTGCAAAGTACTATAGGAGCTCAGAAGAGAGAAAAGTCACTTCAGACAGGAAAAACAGGGAAAGCTTCAGGAATGAAGTGGCCTTGCAGGATGGATAAGATTTCCACAGGTAGATATGGAGAGGGACATCCGGAGAGAGAGAACAGGATGGTGTTTAAGAGCTTTGGAGGGGCTGGTTGGTTTAGCAGCAGTTAAGTTCACGCGCTCCGCTTCGGCGGCCTGGCGTTCGCAGTTTCGGATCCCGGGCGCCGACCTACGCGCTGCTTGTCAAGCCATGCTGTGGCGGCGTCCCATATAAAGTAGAGGAAGATGGGCACGGATGTTAGCCCAGGGCCAATCTTCCTCAGCAAAAAAGAGGATTAGCAATGGATGTTAGCTCAGGGCTGATCTTCCTCTCTCTCTCTCTCTCTCTCACACACACACACACACACACACACACACAAAAGAGCTTTGGTCATAGCCCAAACCTGGATTGAAATCCACATTGGACTGCCCACTAGCTGTGTGATCTGGGGCAAATGACAGCTTCTATTTCAAACCCCTCTGGATTTTGAAGTTTTAAATAGAGCATGTTTGGGGAGTTACAGACTATCCAGGTTGACCAGAACAGAGTGAGCTCCTTTTCAGATAGTAGTGAGAAATGAGAGCTGGAAAGACAATTGGGAACAGACTAGGCAAGGCCTTTTCCACCAGGTTAAGGAGTTTAGGCACAGTGAGTGGGAGAGGCCATTGGAGGTTATGAGGAAGAGAATGACGATCAGATTAATTTGGTGGTGGTGTGCAGGATGGACCGGAGGGAGTGGGAGAAAGGAGGCAGAGAGACTGATCAGGGGCTTCTACACTGGGATAGGTGCCAAGTGAAGAGGGGGTGAGCTAGCATGATGGCAGGAGGACTGGGTAGAGAGGGATGGCCAGGAAAGACAGGCCTTGTTGGTGGGGTGGGGAGGAGGGAGAGTGAGAAACCAGTGATGATGCTCAGCTTTGGGAATCCTATTCACCTTAGGATCTCGTTGCTCTTACCTGTCTGGGCACGTGGAATTGAGGCCTCATTTTGGTTTTGATTGTCTCATCTTGTTTTATTTTGCTACTTTTCTTGGCTCTCCCTTACCAAAATCATGCTAGGACAATGGTTCCCATTCTTGGTTATACCTTAGGATCACCTGGAGAGTTTTCAAAAAATCCAGATGCCCAGATTATGATCAGACCCAAGTGTGCAGCCAAGGGTGAGAATTGCTGTGCTGGGAGCTGACGGGGAGAAGCTGTGGTGGAGGGAAGAGGGATTTGAGACGTGAGGAAGAAAACGTGGAATCAGACGTAGCTTTTGGATAAGATGAAGTGGTGGGAAATGTGGTGAAGTTGAAAGATTGAGGGAGGGCTGTACCCAAATCTTTTACTTTTGCTTTTATACTTCTGTATTTCTTCTGTTTAAATGCAATATAAGCCAAAAATTCTGTTTCCTGAGCTTCCCAGACTTTGGGATTTCTTTGTGAATTATATGTAGTACCTAACTATTGAATTATAAATCTTCCCACATAGATCTCATGGTATTAAAATATATGTGAATATATCATTACTACATCACCATTATGTTTCCAGTAACAACTGAGGGCCTATTTTAGCCTGTCAGGTGCCATCTAGTGTGTAAATTAGACTACTAAGAATTTTCACAGTCCATCTTATAACAATAGCAGAATAATTCTAGGGGTCAGTTTCTCAGAGGTATTACTTATGCAGGATATTGTCTTTGTGTGTGTGTGTGTGTGTGTGAGGAAGATCAGCCCTGAGCTAACATCCATGCTAATCCTCCTCTTTTTTTTTTTTTTTTTGCTGAGGAAGACTGGCTCTGAGCTAACATCTATTGCCAATCCTCCTCCTTTTTTTTTTTCCCCCCAAAGCCCCAGTAGATAGTTGTATGCCAGAGTTGCACATGCTTCTAGTTGCTGTATGTGGGACATGGCCTTAGCATGGCCGGGGAAGCGGTGCATCGGTGTGCACCCGGGATCCGAACCCGGGCCACCAGCAGCGGAGTGTGTGCGCTTAACTGCCAAGCCACGGGGCTGGCCCAGGATATTGTCTTTTAAAACATGTCTCCTGTGACTACAGATTGTAGCCAAGTGATTCAAAAAGGCATTAGTAAAACATTCTGAATCATTGTTTTTTCCCCAAATCAACATTTGTATAACTAAGCATGCATTTTTATTACTCTAGTCCTCTATTCAGTTTCTTCGTTTTACTCACAGTTCTAAGTTCATTATTAGAAAGGGATTGGAGAGAATACTTTTATTAGATGGTACAAGAGTCGTATTTG